TGGAGAAGGAATGTGGTGAAAAGGAGGTGACCCATAAATTGGGCCCGGCGGATTTCGAGATTATGAGGGTGATTGGGAAGGGTGCATTTGGAAAGGTGTTTCAGGTGAGGAAAAAGGGTACTAGCGGAACCGATGGAGATGGAATTTTTGCGATGAAAGTGATGAAGAAGGACACTATAATCAAGAACAAACATGTGGATTATATGCGAGCTGAAAGGGATATTCTCACCAAAGTGGTACATCCGTTCATTGTCCAGCTCAGATACTCCTTTCAGGTAAGTTTTGCTCATTTCATTATCTAGATTTCTGACTCTCTGATTGATTTATTTTGAAGCTATGAACTTTGACTTTATTTTTAGAGAAGGACAGATGAGTTGATTTTGATTTGTAAGCTTGGTTTCATATAAAGAGCTAATGCCAGTTTGGAATTTTAGTGTTAGTGTTTAAGGCCACTGGATCAATTCACTATGGATTCACTTCGTAAAGAAACTGAAAAGCTCACCAAAATGTGTGGGGAGTTCATGTGGCGTCATTAGATTGCATAATGGATTTCTTTTTGAGGAGTATTGAATGATGCAACTGGATTTTCTGTGGGATAAAAAAGTGCTCGATCTAATTATTATTTAAGTAGAGAGAATTAACCTATCTGCTTGTAAAAATGTTGTTCCCGTTTTTCTAACATCTTTACTCACAATGATTAACTAAGCCTTTGATGAAAATCATTGGATTGTAGAATTTGCCATTCTAGATTGCTAGTGCCTAGCACAGTACATCTTTGAATGACCCCATCAATTTACAACTCTACTTGTAAAAATTGTTCCCTAGTAACCCTGCTTGAAAGAACTAAAACCAGATTCTTTTAAGATGTTTTCATCTCTCTCATCTATTACAAGGTATTAAGGCTTGAATTTTATGGGCACAAACAACTTTAGTAAAACATTTACCACTTCTCTTGGTGTCTAATTGAATTAGATAGCACTTTATGGGGAAAACTGTTGAGGGAAATGGATTTTGTTTTAGCTTACCAATATCGATATCCGAAGTTGTCATTTAATTGCTATTTTGCTTCAATTTTGTTCTCTCTAGTTATAACTTGCACAATTGGCTACAATTAGCAGTCTACTACCAACTACCACAGCTTCCATCACTGCCATTAGTAGCACCACTAACTCTGTCACCATCATTAACTTTATCATAGCTTATGCTTCAACAATTCATTTGGCTTGGAGCTGATTATGGTCATGGTATTGGGGACGTGGGCTGTGGTGGTTGTCTTCATCGAGAAGGTGGCGTGGAGCAGTGGTTATGAAAAACATTTATGCGTTGAATTATCTCAATATCCATTTTGGTTGTTGAAAATTTGAGATATGGATAGTTCATGACAACATCTTGTATGGAGAATGTTTATCTGGCATGAAAGTCTTTTGTGCTAAAATAAACAGGGCCCAAAGTTTTACTGAAAGAACCCTATTGATAACATGCTTTAGTAGTACTTAAATAGAAAAATTGTTCTGTTCCCTGTTTCAATCTTTAACGCTTCCATAAAACACTTCATGGCAAGAGATGAAGCGGTCTGAAATTGTGAGTCTTCTAGTCATATGGTGACAGCTCCAAAGGATATATTTAAACAAATATTGTTGTATATTTCTTTTATTTTTTTTAGTTTGTGGGCAGGATGAAGGTGGGGGGTTGAGTTCCTGTTTTAGTTTTACCATGGATTGAGCAAACTTTTGTCTATTCAAACGTATGTTGCCTACGGATTCATGTGGTTTCCTTTTGATATTGATTGGAGAGACCTCTACATTTCTAAACAAATCTCCTCCCTTCTTGCATTTGTGTGTGATTACATGTATATGTATCTTGTTCTAGGCATCCGTTTTCTTGTCTCCTTACAAGTTTACTTTCAACATCATACAGACCAAGTCTAAGCTGTATTTAATACTGGATTTCATAAATGGAGGACATCTCTTCTATCATCTATACAGACAAGGAATTTTCAGGTACCATTTACATTTATTTCAACAGCTGAAAATAATATGAGTTCGTTCATTTAATTACTGTTCGGCTATGTTTTAATTAGTGAGGACCAGGCAAGGGTTTATACTGCCGAGATAGTATCTGCTGTATCACATCTTCACAAGAATGGGATTATGCATCGAGATCTAAAACCCGAAAATGTTCTCATGGATGCTGATGGGCATGTATGGCTGTGCACTAATTGATGTATTTGCAGGCATACATATTGTGCATAGCATGATAATGGATTCTTCCATTGTAAGTGTTTAAGTGGATTTTCTTTACTAATTTTAGCACTTCTCTTCAGGTTATGTTAACTGATTTTGGACTGGCCAAGGAGATTGATGAATCAAGTAGATCAAATTCAATGTGTGGAACAACAGAGTACATGGCTCCAGAAATCTTACTTGCTAAAGGCCACAACAAGAATGCAGATTGGTGGAGTGTCGGGATCCTTTTGTATGAAATGCTTAGTGGCAAGGTAACCGTTAACCATTGGTCAAGAAAGGGGGGTTTAGTAACTTGTTCAAAAAACCAAATATTTGTCTCAAATATTTTATTATGGTTGACGGTAATATTTGGCAATGTTTTACGAAATTGGGAGTGCACATATTATAAAATACAGTCAGTTGCAGAATCTAAAGTTGGAACTAAAATGTTTGCTTAATTTGAAAACAAGAGGGAAGTGCTCGATTTTAGCCATAGCCCCGGGTCTGTTTCTGATGCTTAGCTCAAAATAGGTTCTTTCACAAAAATCTTTTAATTTCTTATGACACCATAACTATTATATTCTTTTCAGCCGCCATTCACACATCCAAACAGAAAGAAGCTTCAGGAAAAAATCATCAATGAAAAAGTGAAGCTTCTCCCTCGACTGAGCAGTGAGGTTCATTCTTTGCTTAAAGGAGTAAGTGACAACACTTCCACCCGATTTATTGCCTTTCTTATCATTTGCATACCTCTAAGTTGTTATTATTCCCACAGTTACTACATAAGGATCCATTGAAAAGGCTAGGAAGTGGGCCTAAGGGAGCAGACGAGATCAAATGTCATAAATGGTTTCAGACAATAAACTGGAAAAAGATAGAGAACCGAGAATTACAGCCCAAGTTCAAGCCAGATGTGAGTGGCGAAGATTGCACGGCCAATTTTGATAAATGTTGGACTGCAATGCCTCCAGATGACTCACCGGCTGCTACACCAACGGCAGGCGGGCATTTTCAAGGGTATACTTATATAGCACCTAATCCTTGGCTTTCTTCTGAGTGAACAAGAAGTTTCAAATCAGTGCATGGACCTTGTCAATTTATTTTGTCTTTCTTCAAACAAGAAACTGTCACTGTAATTGTCGCTTAATTTGAATATAATTACTCCAGACTTGCTGCAGTTCTTTTGATTATATACGCTAATATTTGCTGATACAGTGGTTCCTAAAATTGACTGTTCAACTTTTGTTGTCAACACCTCTTGGGCAGCTGCTTGAAGCAGGTCCGACATTTGATAGTGTTATAAAAAGTAATTTCAGAATCAAGTTAATTTAATGGAAGACACCTGAACTAAGGGGAACTACAATGGGTGGTTATAATATGTATACTGTAGACCTAAAGAAATTTCTATTCATGAATTACAATATACCCAATTGAAAAAGGATGCTATCCAAATGCTTTTCAAGTAATTGTGGTAAACTTGACTTGTTGGCCTCTTGGCTTTTCTGGCGATATGAATGAATTTAAGTAATTATCGTTCTGTAAAACCATAATGAAAACACAATTTTTGTTTCTAATATAGACAAGTACGTTATTGAGATTTTTTCCCAAGACGTGATTGGTTTTTAAGATCACTTCCAACTTTAGGCTTTTACGGGCTTTGGATCCATGTTGAAACCACAAGTTGGCACAAAAATTGAATATTCATAAGCCGTCATTTTTTATAATACTATTCAGTATCAATGATGTTAGAACATCACTCTATGTTACATTATGTAATATATCCAGTTAAGGGCAAAATTATATGATTCATTTAATAATATTTGTCACCTTAACTGATGTTGTAACACTAGTAGCACTAAATAGCATTATTATTTAGAAAAAATAGGCTTCAAGTTCTTAGGAAGAACTGTACTAGGCAGCTGACCGAGCTCAAACGCCCCTGTTCTTTCGTAGTCAATTACTTGAGTTGTCATACAGACAGCAACCAGTGGCACCATAAATGTAAATGCACCAGTGAAAATAAAATATTATCTGCTTATCTTATACATCAAATCCTTGTTATTATAAAATATCTATAATCCCACCCACAGGCAAGTGAAGGTCCTACCACAACTTATCCTGATAAATCGAGGACCTAATTCAATCCACATTAATAAAATAGCTAAAAATAATCTCCCACAAAGTAAGCACCAGGCCAACAATATCAGTTACATTCATGGAGAAGAAACCCTACCACAGTGTTGGATTAGAATATTCTATGCATAAACCAAAAAGGCAAATCAAAGGGTATGACAAATTGTCCAAAACTTTATTCTCAATCACAAACGAGCAAGGATCTGAAATATTAGCATATAAAACAAAAGACACAGCAAAGCATGATATTTTTCCGGTCTGTACAGAGACTATTATCGATTATAGCCATATTCATTACCTATAATCTTATAAAGTTATGATGAACCCTTTTTTCTTCAATTTTATTCTGTCGAGCGCCTCCATTCTTCAAGAAACACTGATTATGCTATCTCCATTACCGAAGCTTGTTTTCATCTGGAATGCTGAGTGCCTAGTTGATGCCTGATCTTGATGCAATGACAATGTTAGCCCCAATGACAGTTGCGGTGACACAATTGGCACATTCTGCCTTAGGCTAAGGTCTGTCGATGAAGTATGCATCGGAAGAACAGGAACCGGCTGAATGAGCATATCCGAATGGGTTATATTTTCCACCGATTTTTCAGGTTGTAGATGGAAGAAAACAGGAGCAACGGTCATCGGAAAAGGCTTAAGAGAGAATCCACTAATACTCGAAGTTTCTGCAGAAGACAAAGAGGTTGATGGCAGAATTGTCTGGGCTGCACTTTCCTGATGGCTTCCACCCTCTTTGCTTGGCATTGGAGTAACCTAGCCATGAAATCACAAAAATTATGAACCATCAATAAACTATCAAATTCAATACAATAACAAACTAAGCCTTGTTTACAACAAATTTGGAGTCCGCTCAAATACCACAATCAACAAAACTTCAGAAAAATATGTCCTCAAATTAGCCAGCCCTTAGTGATTTGATCTTTGAATGCTCTGATAAAATTTTATGAACAACAAGTGCAAACCTTAATGCTTAAAACACAAAAGCTTTGGTCTATAATTACTTTTTAACTTCAAACAGGGACATTTATCTCTCATAAAGTAGAAAAGTAATGTTCCCATAAAGTTTTTAAAGAAAGTTTTAAGTGACATCTCAGATAGAATGCTTAAAGATATGCATTATCAACAATGGCAATCAATTGAATCAGACCAATACAACATCAAATTATTTGTCTAACACATACAAAGACTGAAAAACAAAAGTGATTAGATCTAATCACTAAAATTACCGAATCAGTGGTGATGTCAAAGAGACTAGAACGACGTCGACGCCGATTGAGATTGTTCCGGCGAAGGAAGTATTTCTGGGCATGGCTAGCAACTTGGGTTGGCGTACGAGTTTTAACATATTTTCTAGAGATTCCTCTCCAGTCTCCTTTTCCAACTTTTTGCAATCCAATGAGAAATAGCTTGTGTTCTTCCTCAGTCCATGGAACTCCTAAAAGAAATACACAATCCAATACAACATGGATCAAAATCAATACAGCAAAGTTGATAAAATCCCATAGATGAGGAAACAAATTTGACTTAACAAGTCTAACAAATATTTCTCTCAAACTATTTTTGAAATTACATAGTACTGTTTCAATAAAGATTTAGTACTGTTTCAATAAAGATTTGAAATCAGATTATTAAATTTTTTTAAGAAATTTATTGAAATCAACAACCTTCATAACAGATCATTCGAAGATTGGAATTTTTTTTGGCATAAGCAACCAAAATATCTAATGAGAGATTTATTCACCACGATAATCAATATATAAATAAATTTCATTCAAGCAGACAAGCTACTCCTAGACCAGTTCAAAAAATTTATTTTCCAAAGAGCATCTTTTATCATCCGATTGTAAATTAGCCAATAAATCAAGTATTCCATGATGAAAAAAATCTGAAAACGAATCACATAATCAATCAAATAAATTATTAAACTAATGATAATTTAACAGATAAACAGATGATCAGAGATCTGACCTCGCTTACGCTCCCGACTCCCGTTGCCTGGCTGCGGCACGGAGTCATCGGCCGATGCATAACCATTCGCCGCCGCCATCTTCAACAACTCGCTATCATTGTTATTAGCATTAGAGTTATCGTTATTGTTATTAACGGGCTCGTATTCAGAAAGATTATTCATACTCACACTCTTCCTCATGGGGTCAACTTTTACTCTTACCCCAAACAACATAATCTCGCCAGAATCGCTACCAACACAACCGTTTCCGCCACCAAAAACGGCGGCAGACGGCGACTCTCCACTCGGGCATGACATTTTGTTTGTTATTTTCGGAGGTTTCTTTAGGGGAATTAATATAGATGAAATCGAAAGAGAGTTTAGTATTTATATGGCGATTAAAACGTGATGGCCGTACACTGTGGTGCTGGAAATAATAAAACAATAAGAGAGAGAAAGTGGATGTTTGGGAGATGGGATAAGAAATTAACTAGCATGGAAA